CCACCTCCTCCGCCTCAATCAAACCCCCGCCCGCATCACAGCCCCACCACGCCGATGCGGCGGCGGCGGCCGCCCAGCAGCAGCGCCTGCTCGACCTCGCCGCGGAGCTGGAGGAGGAGCGCCGCCTGCGCCGCGCGGCGGAGGAGTCCCTCGCGAGCTCCGAGACCCGCCTCGGCCGCCTCAAGGCGTTCGCGCAGGACGCGCTGCGGAAGCGCGACGACCTCAAGGCCGAGTCCGCCGCGTCGTCCCGGGCGCTGCAGGCGCTCCAGGCCGAGGCGGCCACCGCCTCCTCCATGCTCTCCTCCGGCCTCGAGCGGATCTCCGCCAAGGCGTCCCCGTCCACCCCGCCCGCCCCGCTCCCCACCTCCGGCAAGTACTCCGCCGGCCTCCCCGCCCTCGCCTACGGGGTCCTCAAGCGCGCCAACGACATCGTCGACGACCTGCTCGCGCAGATCGACGCCGCGGGCCGCGACCGCGACCGCGCGCGCCAGGACATGGACCAGCGCAACTACCAGATCGCCATCGAGGTGTCCGAGCTCGAGGCGGCCGTGGCCTCCCGCGCCGCCGAGTCCGAGTCCCTCTCCAGGTCCCTATCGGATCGGGAGGCGGAGATCTCCGCGCTCCAGGATAAGGTCCGATCCCTCGAGGCGAAGATGGACGCGCAGAGGCCCGTCCTCGCCGAGCAGATCGGCTGCGCCTCCAGGCTCTACGATGAGCTTCGCGAGGTAGTTATGCTGGTGGACGACGCCGCTGCCACAGCGCTGCCCGACTCCGTCTTCGTCTGGAAGGAGACAGACGTGGAGGAGAGCCTCAAGGTTTCGCTGGAAGGGACCAGGATGGCCTACGACATCGCCGCAATGGCGCTGCAGAAGGTCGGGGTGTGGCGGGATAAGGGGAAGAGCAAGGTGACGGAGCTTGAGGAGAGGGTGGAGGAGCTGACCCGGGAGAAGGATCACATTGGGGTGCTGCTCCGGAGCGCGCTGCAGGCTAACACGACCGAGGTTTTGAAGGTGGCTGAGGATGGGCTGAGGGAGGCCGGAATCGAGATAGGACTCAACGGCCACAGGGATCACAGGCCAGGGAGCACGGAGAAGGATGAAGTCTATACATTGGTAGGTGCACTGTGAATGATGTCATGCTGTTGCAAGTTCATTGACTTCCCATGTATCTAGCCATACTGAATTGTTTCTTCTGTAACAATCAACCAATATTGCAGGCAGGGGCATTGGAGAACAGCATGAAGGAGTCCCAGATTAAGATCATTGAGCTGCAACATCTTGTTGAAGCACAAAGGTAGCTAACTTGATTCATTTTTGTTTACGTGTCATTTTATTTTTTTGCCGCACTGCCGGTTGAACTTGAGCAACATTAATAAAATTACTATCCATTGGATTTAATGTGGAATGGCCATGTGGTTTAAAGCAAACGCTTTTTGACCTCTTTTAACCAACAATAAGCTATTCAAAATTATAACTATCCTTCAGTCTGCCACTCTTGGTATCTTGATATAAACAAAAGCTGCAATTCATTACTAAAGCCAAAGTCAGTAGGAGTACTACTACAAAAAGATTCAGACCTCGGGCTGGAAATTGCCATTTCCTACTTCCCATCTTCTGAAATTGTGGATTTCAGGGCAGAGTCTAGTCTACTAAGGACGAGGATGGAAGGGCAAGAAAAGGAGATTGGTCAGCTACGGAAGCAGATAAAACATCTTGAAGAGAAGGAAAAGATGGCCAATGAAAGCGTAATATTTTCTCCTCATGTCTAATCGGATGTTTTGAGTATATGCATATCACTCTTATGGTCAGAGTCAGTGAGACAACACATAACCGTGTTTGTTGCATTCTTCAGGTTGAGGATCTGATGGTGGACATAACAGCTGCTGAAGAGGAGATTCAAAGGTGGAAGACGGCAGCAGAGGAGGAAGCTAATGCTGGTAGATCAATTGAGCAAGAGTTCCAGACTCAGGTGCGTTTGTACTTTATACAGACATGCACCATTACTCTGCATGTCCTTTATGTTTTTGGTGTCTTGTTTATGTTTTCATGAGTTACATTAGACAACCAATGGCTCGACTCAATTGATCACTTAGTATTGCAGTTGTCTTATATTAGATTTTTTTTGGAGCATTCAAGACAGCAGGAAAGGTTCCTACTGACATATATTTCTCATAGTCACCAGATTACAAGGGGTATTACAACCATGTAGTGTTGCTACTTAGCCAATCCCTCTAGCCTAGATATTTCTTTTGGTGAACCGAGTAAATATTAAGCATGGTGAGCATGTTAGCAAACTAGGACTCCATGAATTATTTAGACAAGCAAATGCTAGACTGAATTAATCACTTAGCATTGCAGTTATCTGATACTCCCTCTGTCCCAAATTACTTGTTTTAGATTTGTCTAGACAATGTATCTAGACAATTCTATGACAAGTAATTTGGGACGGAGGTAATATTAAATATTTCTTTTCGAGAACAGAGTAATATTAAGCACAGTAAACATGTTAGCAAACGACCATGACTCCATGAGTTAACTAGACAGGCAAATACTTGACTGAATTAATCACTTAGAATTGCAGTCGTCTGATATTAAATATTTCTTGGGGAGAACAGAGTAATATTAAGAATTAAACACAGTGAACATGCTGGCATACTACCATGTGCACTTTTGATACATATGTTTGGTGTTTTGACAGCAAGGCACTACAGAAAGTGTAAGAAAGTACAAGATCGTAGTAGGCATGCTTAAACATTTACGTAGCATTCTTGGTTAGTGTTATCATAATATCATTTGACAGAAGTCACACAATGACTTGTTCTTTGCAGTTTAGCTGAAACATCATTGTGTATCGACCATATGTTATGCTATACTGATACAGACACATGGTGTTGAGGGTAGCAGGGGTTTTATTCCTATTTAGCATAGTGAGACAAACATATTACTTCTGTTATTGTATGGTGTAGCTTGTGGTTCAATATCAGCTTTATTATGGTTCCATTGTTGTATTCAGTTTCGCCATAATGAATTGTTTCCATGTGGTCTTTGTTGTTACATCTTGGAAGTTAGTTATAGCAATGTTAGAGTATCCTTCAGTTGTTACTGCCAGTTTTAGATATTGCATTGCCACATTGTCCATAGAAAAATTCTTCGGTTGAGAAACAATAATTTTGAAGCCTTAAGCAACTATGCCCGCCAGTATAGATAGGTTGTGTCTAAGTGATGCGCAATAAAGTGCAAGGAAGGGCTTTGCAATCAGTAGTGGCTGGCAGCAGATGTAGCTGAGTCCCACAACTTGGTACTGTGGCTGTATGAAGGATACTTTATTGTGCAAGGTGGCATAAATTTTGATTTATTTTGTAAATGAAAAACTTCTGTAGATAACTTGTAATCAACAGTCTTGAGTGTTGATGATAACTGTAGATAACCAGTGCAAGGAAATGGCTTGTTTCCTATGTAGGGCGAAGTATCCTTTCTAGTTGTAATCAACAGGCTTGATGTTGGTAACTTGTAATGCCGCTGTGTGAAGAATATATGAATATACAAGGATGCATAGTGTCTTCATGTTTTTTTATTTTCGAAAGAGCATAAGTTGTAAGGAAATGGCTTGTTCTCATATTGGGGCGAAGCGTCCTTTCTGGTTGCAATGAACAGTCTTCTCGATCCATGAGAAGCTGAACTGAATTATTTTTTTATTTTATTGCACAGATATCGTCTCTCCACAAGGAACTAGAGGAAGCAAGAGAAACAATGGTGGAGCTGGAAAACAAGCTCAAGTTCAAGGAGGAGACAGCGGCCGCCGCAATGGCGGTCCGCGACGCCGCAGAGAAATCCTTAAAGCTCGCCGACACGAGATCCGCGAGGCTGCGCGAGCGGCTGGAAGAGCTCAATAGGCAGGTGGAGGAGTCCGACAATAGGGCGGACCCGAGCAGTCGCAGCGGCCACAGGTACGTGTGCTGGCCATGGCAGTGGCTGGGGCTGAACTACGTACGACTGCCGCCTGCGGAGGCAGAGGAGACCTCTAACGAGATGGAGCTCTCTGAACCCCTGATATAGCAGCGGCGTGGTGTTTATACAGATCGAAACACGGGCCGTTTGCTCCTTTGTTTCGATAAAAGAAAAGGCAAAGAGAACATTAGAATTTTTTTTTAGCTTGGGTTCTTCCTGTAGATGTTTGGGAAATTTGTCCGTGCTTGTTTGTAGTGTGCAGACTCACGAGGGTGTTCGACGGGCGGCGTGTAATTGTAGAGAAAGTTACCGGACTCGGGATATAGTGAAGATGTTTCATTCTTTTGGGAAAATCGTCTTGTTTCAACATATCACTTTACCCTGGGTTTCTTTATATGACCACCACAGTTCATTTTTGCTGATTCAGGTGGACTACACAAGCAAAATATATGATTTTCTTCTGTAACATGTGAAGACTTGCCAAGTCTGTCAATAAAGATGTAGTTTTACCTAGAAGCTGTTTAATCAAAAGAGTACAAATAAACAGGAGATGTGGGCTGGAAAATGAGTTGCTCTGAAGTGTACAAGCACACAGGGGATGGGAACTAAAATGGTAACTTCATCCTCCGACTATGTGACCATATCATGAACCTGACTGTGCAGCAAAACCGTCGGCGAACCGGTTGCTCAGGATGGAGGAGGAAGAGGCCTCCTTGCAGGCGCCCTCGCAGCCAGATCACTGAAAATGGACCATATATGATTGAGAAAAGAGAGTAAACTTCTAGACCAATAAATCAACCTTCAGTGCTACAACATTTCTCTGACTTGCTGATTAGTACCTGATACGCTGGCTGACGATCGCAGCATACTGGCTCGGGATCTTCTCCAGCGCCTCAAGCGCGAACCGCTCCTCCTTCTCGGCGCGGGACATCTCCGTGGACATGATCTTGGTGAAATCCACAAACTGCAGTTGGTGTAGGCAACATGAGTGAGGTGAGGACTGAGTTAGCTTAGGACATGACATGAATGAGCATGCCCTCTTGCAGAAACAAAGTGATAAATGGTTCTACCACATACCTGGAAGTTGTTGAATCGGCGTCGGCCGTCGTGGAACGGCATCTGATCGTCGTCCCATGGCCCGTCCCCGACCCCGACGAGGACGATGGAGAGAGGGAAATGGCTGCAAGCAAACACATACCATGTGATAATGTCACCAGAACATATGCAAACCAGTCAAGTTTTGGAGACAGATACTTGGCATTCAGCTGTATCAACTACTAGTACCTAGCATGAATGAGGGCCTGAAGAGTCCTCTCCTCCATGTCGTTCTCTGATCTTGATTCGTCCAGGGAGCTCGCGCGATGAGCACCGCAACCTCTCGGAACCTGGTGTTGATCACGTCAGAAACACAGCCACACAAAAATTCAGACAATGTCTGAATTTTCTCAAAAGAGAAGACACACAAAACTGGCGGTTGATCACCTGCCCATCAGCGATTATCAGCAGGATGTGGTACTGATGCCCGGAGCGTTGGACTACCCCCATTGCAGCCTCGATGATCGGCGCCAGAGATGTCGGCCCTGAATCAGGAACCATTTATTTACTATCATGAGACATACAGTAACTCACAAGACCAGTCTTTCTCTTGCAGAATTCAGTGGCAAGATGATGGTACCGGAGAGCTGAACGGTGGCGGTGATCTCCCGGTAACGCAGCAGGGCCTCCGGGATGCCGGCGCACGGCCGCACGTCCCCGTAGAAGCTGAACACGCCCTGGTCGTGCGTGGACACTGGCGGCAGGGCAGGCAGATGAATGAGATCACCACCAATAAGGCGATCATAAGCCATTTTAGTTCACCACCGGACACCACCATTCCAGAGTGACTTACTGTCCCCGAAGCCGAAGCAGGGGATGTCGTTGTCCTCGTCGTAGGCCGACAGCGTCTCGCCGACGATGCTGATGGCCTCCTCGTACGGGTTCGGGACGGCGCCGAGGTGGTGCAGGCTCCTCCCGCCGAAGCAGCGCTTCCCTGTTCATTCGCCCATCCATGAAAAATTCAGAACTACTACTATATGGTAATAATAACTGAAGAGAGAGAGAGAGAGAGAGAGAGAGAGAGAGAGAGAGAGAGAGAGAGAGCACCTGTCCATTCGTTGCTCCTGGTGAAATCCACCCCGATGATGAGGTTGGACGACTCGAGCCCCACCCGCTGAAGATCCGCCTTCACCTGCCAACATACGATCGATCGACGCGGCGCGGCACCGACCAAAATGCAATCAGATTTCTGACTGAATGTATGTAGAATAGAAACTTGTAGCAGAGTAAAACCAAGTTGCGACTGAGCAAGACACGGTTACGGACGCCATCTTCGTTACCTGGTCCAAGGTACCGTACGCTAGATGATCTTCAGATGACGGGCTTTCGATTTGGCTTTGGCGTCCCTTGGCCGGGGACACCGTCCAGGTGGCGACGGCGCAGCAGAGCAGCAGGAAGGCCGAGAGGATCATCGGCGACGACGGTGATGGAATTGGATGTGATTTTTTGGCGAGAGAAGGTAGCAAGAAGCAGCAGAGTTGCTATGCTACCACAATGGCGCCCCGGCCTTTTATGCTGAGAGCGAGCGGGGAGGAGAAGCGGCCCAAGTTATCAGTGAGAAGTTTCCGGCGAATTTACACAGGGAAATAATATTAGTAGAAAAATGGTTTGGTTTGGCTTGGCTTGGCTTGGCTGTGGACGCGGAGAGGGTGTCGAGGGAGACGCTGAAACGAGTGAAGCTATAGAGAGCACCGTCGTCGAGCAGAGCAAAGTGTGCAGGAGGAGTGGGGGAGGGGAGGGAGTCCGCGTGGTGTGGTGTGAGACGGGACGGGACGGGAACACGACTTGACTTGACTCGACTCACGGCGCTCAGGTACGTGCGCACATAGGTGTGTGTGACACTTGGCGGCAGCTTAATTCGCATCAAAGGTCTCACGTAAAAAAAGAGGTTCTCTCACATTCCAAGAACACCGTTTTTTCGGCCCATAAGAGCATCTCTACTCCTTCCCCTCGAAGGAAGGCATTAATCGGGAGCAACTAGTTAACGAGCGCTTCTTCGGGAGCCTTGCAACGATCAGTACCACTTGGCGCTTTTAGCCATTCGCCACATGCCGTACTCTGGATGCTCCTTTCGGATTTTGTTTTTTTTTTATTTTTTCGCACGTGTTTTTGACTTTTTAAATGGTTTTTTTCGGGGGTTTTCGACGTTTTGGTTTTCCCACGGTCTTCCTTATCTTTTCGATCAAAAAAATTGGAAAATAATTTGCGTGAAAAAAATGCGTTTTCTTTTTTTTTTCTTTCGCGAAAGTCACGGTTTTTTTCGCGAGAGTCACGACCGTGCCTTTCGGAAATGAAAAAAATGCGTTTTCTGTTTTTTTCTTTTGCGAGAGCCACGGTTTTGCTTCCGCGAGAGGCACGGTTGTGCTTTCGCGAGAGTCACGGTCATGCCTCTCGGAAAGGGAAAAATAAAACGCGATTTCTGTTTTTTTATTTCGCGAGAGTCGCGGTTTTGCTTCCGCGAGAGGCACGGTTGTGCTTTCGCGAGAGTCACGGTTTTGCTTCTGCGAGAGGCACGGTTGTGCTTTCGTGAGAGTCACGGCCGTGCCTCTCAGAAAGAGAAAAAAATACGCGTTTTCTGTTTTTTTCTTTCGTGAGAGTCACGGTTTTGTTTCTGCGAGAGGCACGGTTGTGCTTTCGCGAGAGTCACGGCCGTGCCTCTCGGAAACGAAAAAAAAACGCGTTTTCTGTTTGTTTTTTCCTTCCACGAGAGTCACGGTTTTGCTTCCATGAGAGGCACGGGTGTGATTTCACGAGAGGCACGGGCGTGCCTCTTTCGGAAAGGAAAAAAAAACCGTGTTCCCGGTTCGTTTTTTCGCCCGATTTTTTTGTGAAAAAAAAGTTCGTCAAAACCTATCAACATGGGATCTAGTTTTGACGATCTCGACGCGAGGAATCCAATGATGAAAACGGTTTGAGATTTGGACGCACGGTTTAAAAGATAAAACATTTTGAATAATTGGATCTACGAAAAAAGGGAAAACTCGCAGGTTGCGATAAGTAGCGCATTGCATGTGCGCCACTTGTCGCGACCTGAAAAAGTGGAGTGTTCTTTGCAACGAGTACTCCTTAATTAGTGATTTCGGCATTAATCGCCCAAAATATATTTGGTTCCAGGGATTAACACCCACCTAGCTAGACCTCATTCCACTAAAAAAAACTACCTAGACCTGGGTTTGGACAGCCTGGCCCGGCGACCCGGGCCGGGTTCGGGACTCGTTTTCCAGCCGAGGATGCACTCTGGGACAGTCTCAAGCTTCGGGCCGGGCTTGCACATGCAAGTGACGGAGAGCGCCGTTTGGGTCGGGCTTTGCGCTTGCATCGGGCAGGGCTCGGCTTTCAAAAGGACTAATTTTTGTTGCAAAAAAGGACAAATTTTAGGGCTTCATGACGGGCTCGGTCTTGATGTTTGAAGGTCGGGCTTATGCAAGCCCAGCCAAAAATCTGGCCTGGCCCGACTAATGATCAGATTTATACCTAGCCCTTTCATAGAACCATTACTCTTGAGAAACTAGTTTTTTCTTCATTAATTTTTTTGTCGTTTAGACTAAATTTGCTATGGGATAGGCAACTCTTGTTAAAAATAAAGCGACGCGAACGATCCGATTGGGCACAGTCACTGTTGTCCGCCTCGCCATCGACCCACCCCGCCATTTGTGGCGCCACCCTCCCCTCTCTTCTCCGGCAAGATTCTGATGATTTTTCTTCCTTTTTTGGTCTTCCCCATTTTCTACGTCGAATGCTACAGTTCTCCTCGCTGCCCCGGTCCAATGACACTCCTTCCCGTCAACCCTGGCCATGAGCAAAGCAAAACCACATGCAAAGGAGAACCTATAGAGGAAACATCATGTAAAGGACAAAACGTAAAGACAAACATGACCGCTGACCACCATTGCCAATTTCGATGAATCATTGTGTTTCGGTGCACGTCATCGTGCCATTAGGAGAAGAAAGACGAGAAGAACCTGTTCAAACGAAGAAGTGCCCAAACAACGACCTGTGAAGGACGAATTTCTCCTACTTTCTCGACTCCTTTATCGCACGCGTACGTCGTGCATAGTGAGCATGTATCAAATTACTTTTGCAGTTCATCTACCCTAGGCCCTACCTAATTCACGAATATCATCTAGTAGCGAGAAATCGCCGTTGACCACGTGAAACGAAGAAGAAGATGAAGAGAGGCTTTCATATGAGATCAAAATCGTTTGAGGGATTAAGTTTAGAGAAAAGTAGGTCCATAAAAGTTTAATTCCTCAAATTTTACCTTGGTCTTCAGCAGAGGCTTTTTCTCCTCTTTGATGAAACTGGCCTCAGAAACAACCTTCTTGCCCTTACCATGCGGAACCGAGCAGTGAAGGAACACACACGAGTGTAGGTGGCGCGCTCATTGGGCCTCAGATTGTGCCCAATCTTAGGAGCCACATAAGGAGCAGGAGCGGCAATAGTCCAGTTTATATTGCGTTTCAGAATGTGTCGTGGTTTTGTCACGGCAGATGTCCTCGTGAAAGGACTTAGTCGTGGAGCCATCGCTACGGGTTAGCTTAAAGGGGTTAAACCGGACAAGGGACACGAGAGTTTATACTAGTTCGGCCCCTTACGATGAAGGTAAAAGCCTACGTCTAGTTGTGATGAGATTGCTGGGGTTTCGATGACCAGGGAGCGAATCCGCTTTGCCTGGCTCTTGAGTTGTTGTTCTCTGTCCCTAAACCGATGCCGGGTCGTCCCTTTATATACATAGGTTGACGCCCGCCGGTTTACAGAGTCCCGAGGCCGGATCATAAACGTGTCCAACTCGGTCTCTATTCCTTCTAACTTACAATACAAGTTACATATTCATGCCGGTTTATGTCTACATGCCTTAACCCGCCTTTGGGCCTTATGCCTTCCTGAAGCACCACCATCCTTGTCTTCATGGGCCTTTGAATAAAGCAATCATCATTGGGATAATCCGGCCTCTCCTAGCCGGTTTCCGCCCGGTGGTAATATCCCCAACATTAGGCCCCAGATTGATTTGAACTTGTTCATGTCAATCTTCAACACTTAGAAAAATTCCTCCTTTGCATCTTCACCTTGATCTTCTAAATCGCCGTGACGTCATCCTCCAGGATCATGATAAATCGCCATGACGTCACTTGTTATTTAAAAATTATACATCTCACCTTCAGTTAATGATCCTTCGACAATCGAGGCGACCGCTCTGTTATATATCCAATTTTCGGGCTCCTTGATTCTCGCTCCTATCACCTCTCCATTTACCTTATAAATAGGGCCAAGGGTCATTTTATTTCCCCCCTTCACCTCCTCGCTTCTTCTTCTTCCTTGCGACGCCCCTACACCCCAGCGCCACCGTTGTCGTTGAGCTTCGCCTCTGCATCACCGTCGGTCGCTGCATCGACCTGGTCATATCAGAGAGACGCGACGCACCTCCGCTACCTCAACAGCTGTTGTAAGCCTTTCCTTCTTTCCTCTATAGATCCATTAGGGTTCATACGGGTTCATGTCACTCTCCTCGTGATCTTCATCAGTCCACTGATAGCAGAGCTCGATCTTGACGTGTTCCGCACAGTAGCTATGGCACTCCTTATCTCGGCCATTTAAACCAAACCTTAAATACATAATAACTTGATTTGGACCTTTTGTGAACTGCTTCGGGACCAAACTTTTTAAGTCTCAATATTTTTTTTATTTTCCTGACTTACGGTAGATCCAAAATTTCAATGCAATCTTGTGAAACCTATTTTACCTTACTTAGTCATTCTTGCCTTAGATCTGTATCTTCCTTATCCGCATAGGCGGTTTGTCCTCGTAGAAAATAATCTATCATATACCATTAGTCCCCTTGTAAACCGCCAATCCCTTTATCTCCGTTGTCATATTCCGGTTTAATAATATGTGTATACCTCTGTTTCTGTTTATCGCTTTATCATTGATAATTGCATCAGCCTCCGGTTTACCAATTTCACATACTTGGATTCCTTTTCCCTGTTGTACCATATGCATCACCATGGATGAATAGTAAACCGGCATTATTTTCTTCCCAGCTTTTCACTTGCAATGGCCAAGCAGTTTTATTCCTGCAACTGGGTCCCCTCCCGGGTTACAGAGGAGCAACTGAACGGAATGGTCAAGATTGGTACTTTACTAAAGAAAAATGAAATCCGGTGGCGAGTTTCTGGGCCGGAAAATCCTCCTACCCCCAAGCAGGGTGAAGTAGTGGTGTTTGTTGATCACATAGGCCGTGGCTTTAAACTGCCCGGATTGAAGTTTTTTCGAGATGTACTTGCTAGCTTTCAGCTCCACCCTCAATATATTGGACCCAACTCGGTATCCAATATATGCAACTTTCAAGTTTTTTTGTGAAGCGTACCTACAAGAAGAACCAACTGTCGAGCTGTTCTAGAATTTCTTCCATTTA